AAACAGCAGCCTCTGGTGTTAACAATCTACTCTCAAATCTCATGCTCCACATTTCCCCGGCAAACAAGGCTAAAAATACAAGACATGCAACAAATAGTCTCTTGGGATCTGCCATTCCATGGATGGTGTATTCAATCAGAGTAATATTTTCTGTTGAAATTCAAAATTGAAAAAAAAAGCAAGCTATCATATTAGAAACTGGCGTTCAGAATTTTAAGTGTGAATCCAATCCCAAAGTATATTGAGCTGAATGGTGAGAGGGTGGTTGTTTTCATACAACATAAATCTTTGAGATTTATCTGAATATATTTATAGATTTATTTAAGCTACTCTGAATTCCTCTACAACTCTCACAGTTATAGAGAAATAATTTTAGTCCTTTTGTCACCAAAATATAAGGGTCATTTTATTTTTGGCATCGTTCAGAAAGCAGTCCTATCGGAGTGTAGGTTCAAATCCAGGCTCTTTCATAAACTAACTCTGTGGCCTCGCACAGTTATTTAACCCCTCTTTGCCCTTTTTCCCCCCATGTTAGAAATGAGAATATTACTTACCTCACAGTGTTAAGGACTAAATGAGTTAACATACATAAACTATTTAGAATAATCAATGGCACACACTAAATACGATAATTGCTATCATTATGTCGCACTCAAAAAAGGCTACAAAAATGCCTTCTCCTAAGGAACAGGCATAATATAAAGAGTGGTTGCAACACAATGGTAACTTCTCACGCCAAAAGCAGCCATTTAGCAAATGAGGGGGAATGAACTGGCCAGGATCTTCACCTGGAGTATGCGGGTCTCATTACAGGAATGTTCCAGTTGGTTATTTGGTCATGCCATTAGTTCATGAAGACATCAGAATGAAGAGGACAGAAGAGAAGACGATGGCATGGCTGGTCAACTGGCACTCTCCAGAGTATAGGACGACCAGGATTGATGGCAAAAGTGCAATCAAGAAGCATCCCCCTATTGGGACTTTCTATGAATGGGGGCACCTGTCCTTTCAGATACCTGTATCTTCACAACTACCTTCTTTAAGAGGATGTTATAGAATAAACCTTTCTCCGGACATGCATCTGTCTTTGGGATTAGATTTGAATGCATGTAGTCTGGGTCTCTATCCTTCATATTCAAAAAAGAAAAGGCACAAAGGAGTGGTATCAAATATCCACTATCTCCTATACAACTGATTCCTTGAGAACCCTTTAGAGTTGGCAATATTTTAAGCTGGGTACCATATATGGCAGAAGGAGGACAATAAAGGCATCGAGACCATAGACCAAAGAGTGCTTCCTTCACTAGGAAGACAGCAGGGTCTGGAACTATCTGACCCACCCAGTCATACCATTCGGAGAGCTCATGGAGGATTCCTGGCCCCATAGCCTTTCCCACCAAATGGGGTACCACTTACAGAACCACGCACAGGTCACTCAGAGAGTGAGGAAGGGTATTTATTTTTCAAAGTAAGACCCGTGAAAAAGGACAAGTGCTTGCCTTCTAAGGACCAGATCAGAACAAGTAATGTCTTCTTAAGAACTAAGATACTTAGAGACATTTCTTGAGCAGAACACTTTGTTGGGTAGGAAAAGAAGATGCCATGGGACTGTCTGAGCTGAGAGCAAACAACCCAAGAGTCAGAAAAAGACAAATCTGGAAGGAAATTGGGAGAAAAGACACTTTCCTCACAGCACTATGTAGGGATAGTTTTTTTGTGGAAAAGGAATAGAATGAGAAAGGCCAGGCGTAGGGGAGGTTGGGGAAGGAGGCAGGGGCATATAAAGTTCATTAAGAAGGAAATAACTATAGATTTTAAAATGTATGAATCAGACAGATAAAAGGATTTAAGTATGTGTAAACCATCTGACCCTATTATGCACAGAAAATAAATGTGTATCTCTCTTGCCCTTAATGCATTACTATGGCTATGATAAGGAAGATGTCATTGTCCGGGAAATTTTTTAAAACAAGGAACTGTGTGTAAGTTTAGCCTATCTAAGATTACCTCCCTCCCTGCCTTTAAATGAGGCTATCTTTATGTACAGGATCTAATATAAGAATCACAACCAGATCTACAGCACTATTCCTGTTTTTCAAAGAACAAAAACAAATCAACATGACAACACGATGTAGATTCAATTAGCACTTGGCAGGTCATGAATAACTTTTAAACAATCTTCTTTTAAGCTGGAAAGTGTTAAAATATACAGTAATCATGGCACCAAAGTGCCTTCCTTACAGTTTGCCAGCAGTCAGGAACATAAATCTTAAGAGGTAAGTCTTGTTTGCAAAGGAAGGAGCCAGAACATTGCTCCTTGGGCTGTAACAGTTTTTACGAGCAGTCTCTTGTCCCAAGTACCTTCCTCTTTGAGTATATTCATTTAAAGCCAATCACTCCAAACCTCCCTCTGATTTTTAGATGGTTACATTAAGTATGAAGGAGAAGAAAAAGAAAGAAAAAAAGTTGGTGCAATCATCTTGCACACAAAAGATAAGTAATTGCAGAGAAAATGTTACTGAATTGTTAATTATTCTTGGGTCTTCAAAACAAATGGCATAATTCTATATACCCTGTTGTTTCAGGTGACAAAATACCTTGGTTCAAATCAACATAAAAAGGCTTGCAGAAAAAAAAAAATCACTGAGTAAAGAAGAACAACCTAGGGCCAACTCCACAGTGTCTGGTGAGACTACTCAACAAACATGCCACAAGAGTGCACCTCACCTTGCTTCTAATGAATGGACACGGTGCCAAGCTGGGAGAACTTAAGTAACACTGAAACACCCCCATGGTTCTGAAAATTCCAATTGTGCCCACCTGTCCAAAGCCAGGTGCATGGAGCTTCACAGGCTCCAGAGCCGGCTTACTGCTCATTTCATATAGAATCTCTGACAGGTGCTAAGGAATGGGCTTCATACCCCCAAACATAAAATACTACAAGGGAAATATTAGATATACTGCTCTACTCCATGTGTCTTGAACATTACTATGATCTGTGCAAGACATTTTGTTGTAAATAAGCCTGCAGAGTGTACAGTATGTTTTCTAGGAGACCTTTAAAGAACAGCTTGCAGACAAGAGGTGCTAGCCTTAGTTTCACAGCCAGCAAAACTCCATCCAAGAGGCTTCTGGCATGTCCCCACCTCTTGTTTGGAGCTGGCTTCAGGACAACTCCACCAACCAAATTCCAAGGGGTCAGTATGTGGAGTCAGTCACTCTTAGGTATTCCACATCAAATAGCAAGTAGGAATTCAGACATTTAGATAATTTAGAAAAGGCCCATTTTCCCCCATAACAGTGTACTAAAAAACAACTCAAAGCTGACTTTGCAAGGAGGCATTCTCCCTAGTAAATTAAATGGCTGAAGCTTATGCTTCTAGCAAGGGAAAGAACTAGGCTTCACCATAACCCAGTGTGTGCAATCACCGAGGCTCATTTTTAAATCTTTGCTGCTTTTTAAAAAGCCAGCTCTGAAAGAAAAAGAGAAGAAAGGAAAGAGAAAGAAAGAAAGAAAGAAAGAAAGAAGAAAGAAAGAAAGAAAGAAAGAAAGAAAGAAAGAAAGAAAGAAAGAAAGAAAGAAAGAAAGAAAGAAAGAAAGAAAGAAAAAGTTTTCAGGGAATGAAATGCAAATAGTCACTGAACAGGATCATAAAACAGAAAGCCTCTAACCCACCTCTTTTTCTTTCTTTCTTTTTTAATTCTTCATCCTAGGCACCCTGACTGCTTTTTAACACACCCTTAGCTTTTATAAAAATTAGACTAGCCTGGTTCTTTCGTGATCCTCGCCAACCCCTTCCAGCCTGTTCTGCCTCCCGGCTGCTGGCTCCGTTGCGGCTAGCCGGAGAGCCGAGGGTGAGGTGGTCAGCTCGGTCCCCCCTCTCGCCAGACAAGCCTTAGGTAAATCATTCGGCGCAATTACATATTCCGAACCTGGTGGATGGCACACCGGGAAGGAGAAAGGTAAAGATGGGCGGGAAGGAGAAGCCTCGGGATTATGTCAAAGGGAAAGCCACAATATTCAAGCTACGTCTGAAATTGCCTCTGATCATCTTCAAAACAAGTCGGCGGGATTGATCTTTAACTTGATGCTCCCGGTTCTCGGTCACGGTGGAGGTGAAACCAGTTGCAAAATGTTACTCCACTGGAGTCGAGAGAGAGGGGGGGGGTGGGATCTGGGGAAATGGGGTTTACGTTCCGAAGTCAGCAAGAAGCGGTGGTTTCCCCGCGGCCCCGTGGAGCCCCGCGCTCCCCGCTCCCCGGCTCCCCGCTCCCCGGCTCCCCGCTCCCCGGCTCCCCGCTCCCCGCTCCCCAGCCGGACTGGGCGCCGGGCGGGCGGCCTCGGGCCAACGCTTACCCCGGCCGGGCTCGGCGGGCGCAGGGGCCGCGGGCGGGGCGCGCAGCCCTCCCGGCTCCCGCACACCGCGGCCTCCTCGAAAGCAAGCCCAGGGCTGTCTAGGACCTCGGGCCGGTGTCGCCCAAGGGGCGTCCAGCTCAGCGGACCTCAGCTTGGCTGGTGCTCCCCAAAGGGAAGAGGCGCCCGCTCCGCGGAAGCCCACCCCACAGGGCCTGCCATCACCCGCCCCTCTGCCGGGAACCCTCGGACACCACGATGCGCCCACCCACGGTCTCTCGCCTCGGAGGCTAGTGGCGCGGGCAGCGGCGAGGGAGCCCGGGCTGAAGAGGGGGCTGCTCCGGTCTGCAGCAACTGGGGAGGGCTCCGGAAACGCAGCAGCGCTGGGCGCCAAGGGTAGGGGCCCCGGGCACGGCAACCTGTAGGATTGCGGCTGATGGCAAACTTGGGTGGGAGGCCGTGGTCCCCTCCGAGTCCTCCCCGCCCGGTGGGGGCCGCGCGCGCAGAGGCGCGGGGCGCAACTTGGGAAGCCGGCGCGGCGGGCGCGGGTCCCGCTCAGGGTGGCCGTCGCCCCCTCGCCGCGCCCCGGCCGCCCCGGCCCGCCCCGGCCCGCCCCGGCCCGGCCGCCGCTCCGCCCCGAGCTTACCTCGGCCAGCCGCGGCCCCCGCCGCCCAGAAGCAGAGCCCCAGCCACGGGAGCCAGCGGCGCGCCCCTCCGGCGCCTCCTCCTGCGGCGGCCGCCCGCCCCATGCTCCTCGCCCCGCTCGCGGTCCGGCTCCTCTTCCACGCCCCGGGCGCCCGGGAGAGGCGCGGCCCCGGAGGGCTCCGGCGAGGGACCGCTCCCCGGCGGCCCCCTACAGCCCCGGGGCAGGGCGCCCCGAGCCGCCGCCGGCCGGGCCCCGGGAGCCGGCCCGCGCCCCCATCGCCTCCCTCCGCCGCCGCCGCCGCCGCCGCCGCCCGCGCCGCGGTCTCCCCCGCAGCGCCCGCGCCGCGCTCCCGCCGCCGCCGGGTCCCGGACTAGCGGGCGGAGGAGCGGGTCCGCAGCGCTAATGAGATCCCCGCGGCCGCCCCTTCCCCACCCCTCCGAGCGGCAGCCAATGAGCCGGGCCGGGGCGGGGCGGCGGCGGGAGCGCGGGGCGGGGGCCGGGAGGCGCAGGTGAGCCCGCGGCGGCGGCGGCGGCGCCCCCCGAGCCTCGGCGCCCCGCGGACGCCCCCGCCCCGCCCCGCCCGGGGCCGCCGACCGAGGGAGCCGGGCCGCAGCGGCGCGGGGAGTGAGCGGCGCCCGCGGGCCTCCCGGGGCGGGCCTCCCGGGGCGGCCGCCCGACTGCGGCCCGCCGCTTGCACCGCACCGCCGCGGTGGTCAACTTTGAGCCCTTTCTCAGCCCTGCCTCTCCTGCTTCCATTTTTTGACATCCGCTCAGACAGCACTCCCAACATGTTCAAAGAAAAAGGAAAAAGAAAGAAAAAAAAAGCCTTAAATGCCAAGTGGGGAAAAATGACACTAGGATAAATCCATTATTGGAACTACGGCAAATATGCATGCGTATGAATAAGGAGGTGGGGAAATTACAGTCAGGGGTGCCTCAAGGGGTGTGGGATAGATTTTTATTTATCCTTTTTTTTTTTTTTTTGGACTGATCTGAAATCTTCCTCATTTCTGATGCCTCCTGGTTTTTGTTTGTTTTAATCTGGGCCCTGGGAATTGCCTTTTCTTCTAAGTACCAGGGAAAGTGAGTCGCGCTGGCCCTTGTAACAAGAAGGAAAGAAGACTTTTTCTTAAAAGTGTGGTTTATTTTGAATAAACTGTCGAATCTTTCGTTATTTAACTGCTTTTGAAAGTACTGGTGGTTGCCTCTTATTCTTCCCTCCGCACTAGTAACTCCAGAGAGATTGCCTTAGGCCACACAGTTTCAGATGGAAGAACAGACCAGGGGACTTGGTCCTGAGTCCAAGACTCCAGAGTCAGAGCGGGTGTCACCTCTCAGTAGTGAGCCCCCCATGTGGTGCCAGAAACCCCACTGGTTAGAATACGTGTCCCCTTTTGCCTGGTTGACCCCAGCAGAAAATGAAGTCTTGGCTCCAAAGAAAACCTTCTTAACGGTTCCCCACTGCCCACGCTCAATATTGATACTAGTACTTCTAGAAAAATCTATCTCTCTCTGGCCAAAGTGCTCCCTGCTCCCAAACAACTTTCTCGGGAGAATAAACAGTTTGGAGTGAGGTAATTGTTCTGAATGAGGTAATTGCGGTAACTCCTTTCTTCTGAAGAAAAAGAGGATAGTAGGCAGAAAGATTGATTCCCTGATAAGCACATAAGCCATCCCTCTCCTGAATGCCACCAGACATGTGAAGGCCACGGAGAGGAGACACTTGTTTCTCCCAGTCTTCTGGCGGCTCAATAAAAGGTTTTGGTCCTGGTCAAGAAAACCAAGCTCTGGGGAATGAATGCTTCAAAGCAAAGACTAATGTGGGGCTGGCTGGGGACTTGCCTGGAAATCTCTTTAGAATCTTGGTAAATGAGTGTTTTGTCCTTTTCCTCTGAGAAGGTGAATTGAGAATTAATCTACCAAATATGCTTTACCTGTCTTCTGGAAAATAGTCATTCATCCTCTGACTTTCCTTATTCTTCAAGACTATGTGGCAGTTCTATCACAAATGAGTATTTTCTAAAAAAAAAAAAAAAAAAAAAAAGAAGAAGAAAGAAAGAAAGAAGAAAAAGAAAAAAGAATTACTATGTTTCCAAGATAGTATTTAAGTATTACTACTGTCCCCAGAGGGAGCAAAAGTAAAAACAATTTTATTTATTAAAAAATATCTAGGAGGGGCGTCAATCGAGCGTCTGCCTTTGGCTTGGGTGGTATCCTGGGGTCCTGGGATCGAGCCCAGGGTTGGGCTCCCTGCTCAGTGGGGAAATCTGCTTCTCCCTCTCCCTCTGCCCCTGGACATGTGTGCTCTCTCTCCCGCTTACTCTGTCTTTCAAATAAATAAAATTAAAAAGAAAACATATCTAAGAAATAGATTAGCTAGTATTATTAGTTTAGTTAATAAAGTAAAACTGCAATGACAAATGAGACAGAAAGAGAGAAAATAAGAAAACTTGAGAGCATACTCTGTTCAAGGAATGGGTGTTTCACTTTTTTTTTTTCCATAGGAGTACCAAATCCTAGAATATAGGTACTATTATGCCTGTCTGGTAGATAAGAAAAGTCAGGCTGAGCATAGAAGTGATTTGGCCAAGATCACATAGGTGAGTGTCTAAACATCAAGAATGAGACACAAGGTTGTGTGATTCTAAACCCAAGATGAAGGTTGAAGTAGTGTCCTTTCAATCAGGTGTTCCAGAAATATACATTCCCCCTCATCCGTCTCAGTACTACTATTTAGCTATTGAGTTGGGAAAAGTTGAATCTTCTATATTACTCCCACATATTACACATCATGTGTGAATTATAGACCACGCACTAATTATGTTCCATATATTGGTATATCCTGTAATAATCTAATTCTGGCTATTTTTAAACATAAATGAATTGTTTTCCATTCCACTTGGAGAAATAAATTGAATAGTCACTGCCCAGGATCAATGTCTCCAGCCAGGTAACTGCGGCAAGGCATAGTAGAAGAACCAGCCTAAGAGTCCGGACACCAAGGGACTAGCCCATGACACTGCCAGGGACATGACACTGCCAGGGACTGGTTCTGTAACATGGGGCAAGTCAATATCTGGTTTCAGTTCCCTCATCTGGAAAAATGAGGGTATTTGACTAGAGGATTCTTTTTTTTTTTAAGATTTTATTTATTTATTCATGAGAGACACAGAGAGAGAGAGAGGCAGAGACACAGGCAAAGGGAGAAGCAGGCTCCCTGCAGGGAGCCCGATGTGGGACCCTATCCCGGGACCCCAGAATCAGGATCTGAGCCAAAGACAGATGCTCAAACACTGAACCACCCAGGTGTCCCTTGACTAGAAGATTCTAAGAGCAATCCTTTTTCAGATCCATCATTTTCAACCATAGTATGTTATGAGTCTGAATACTCAGTACAGCCAAATCAGAAATTAAGCCACCTATTCTGGAATTGGGGCAATTATGTAACAAATGCAAAATATGTTCTAGATAAGTTATTTGGGATTATAGCCACCCTAAAGGTATTAGCTGTAATCTGGTAATATTAACTCAATGAACAGACTTGGTAAAGTGTTATTTCTCAATTCTTTGTTGTTTGAATTGACTATTTTCTAACACTTTATACAAAAAGATTAAGAAACATTCTACCACATTTCCACTCGCATTGCCTTTGACCATCTTTAGCCCAACTAGTCTCAAAAATAGAAAATGTTTGAGTTGAATCAAACTTAAAAGGAGAGGAGATAGAGACTGGGCATGGAGGGATACATCCTTCCAAATATAATGAATTTTTTTCCAAATATAATGAATTTTTTAATGGCTTACTATAATTCCTTAAGAAAAGCTCTGTATTTGTCTGGAGAAAAGTATTTAAAGATGTTAACCAACCTGCTTGGTGTAAATAGTAAAACTCCAAGGGAAGTTAAAGAAAATAGAAATACAAGATAAGTAAGAGGAAGAATCTGTTGTTCTAGAATTTGGGGAAGGAAGAGAGGAGCCAAAGGGTTGGTGGAAAGCCACGCCCAGCCAAGATGTGACCTTTCTTCTGGTAGCTCCAAATCATCCTTAAGGTTATGGAGGCAAGTGAATTTCTGAAAAATGGTGAAGGGATTGTAGTTTGTATCTAGATTACTAAAGACAAAACAGACACTCAGGAAACAGCAAAAGGACCTTAGACATGGAAACTTTTGCAAAGTATGGAGATATTTTTGGATTGTCCTAAACCAGATACCTGGATTCTTTTAGGAGCAGGAAGTGCCTTATTTAAAATCTGAACAAAAGCATGATGTCGGATGCCAGTGAGATCAAGACTTTTCAGAAAGGAATACAGCTATAATTGAAAGGGAGAGGATATGAACTTAAGAACATTGAACATTAAGAACTTAAGAACATTGAACATTGAAAGAAAGGGCACCTGGGTGGCTCAGTTGGTTAAGTGGCTGCCTTTGGCTCAGGTGGTGACCTCAGGGTCATGATCTCGGGGTCCGTGATCTCGAGGTTGAGGTCGTGGGATCGAGTCCCACGAAAGGCTCCCTGCTCAGCAGAGAGTCTGCTTCTCCTTTTCTCTGCCCCTTCCCTCTGCTCCTGTTTTCTTTCTCTCTCTCAAATAAATAAAATCTTAAAAAAAAAAAAAAAGACTTCGGGAAAGAAGACCTGAAAAGAATTCTGCAATATATTTGTGCATCATGCTTTTATCTAACCTTCCAGGCTCACCTGGCAATTTTAGTTAGAACTTCTCCAAGAATTTCTCTTAAGGTTTGTAGGATGTTTATACACTGCACACAGATCCTTTCCTAGGCATGGGTTATAGGAAAAGGGTAGTCTTCCCACATTTGGGGTGTTAACACTATAGCCTCCCTCCTCCCAGAAGCTGACTAGTGTTTCAGAAGACACACTGGTGGATATTTCTGATAAAAGCACCATTTGTAGCAATCATACAATTATGATAATAAATGGAGAAGACCAAATATCAACTGGACAAAAGGGCAACAGCTGGCAACTTCAATGGGTGAACTTGGCAATGGAAGTAAATGAGATATTCTACAAGTGATATTTCCATAGGGAATACTCTGTGCCAATCATTTCCCCCAGGAAGGTCTTGTTCAATCAGAGCAGCACATTTTA